GCAGCAGATATCCAGGAGGCTGCAATCCCTGTTGCAAGCAGCCTGGGCAGCTGTGGCAGGCAGCCAGGAGGCTGCAAATAGCTTCACTGGGCACTGGAGCCCCAGCTGGGCTCCATGGCGGTGGTGGGTACACCATGCCTTGGGGTAGATGGCAGGGGAAGGGCTGGGGTTATACTGCCCCAGGTCCCTTCTCAGCTGTGTTCCCCAAGGCACACATGCACTCACCCAGCCAGGACTCTGCAGTCTGGTGCAGCTGTTTGCAGCCTCCTGGCTCCCTTCCACTGCTGGCTTGGGCTCTGGGCAGCTGCAGCAGGCATCGGGCAGGCTGCAAACAGCTGCACCAGGGTCCAGAGTCCCAGCAGCAGCTCCGTGGTGGCAGCAGCGGCTGCACACACACCTTGGGGCATACAGTGTGGAAGGGGCCAGAGCAGCACAGCCCCGGCCCCTCCCCTGCTATCTGCCTGGAGGCACGTGTGCACTTACTGCCAGTAATGAGGATCAGGCCCTTCACAGGTCCCCTGCTATCTGCCTCTGGCATGCCAAATCGAGGTATGGGTGGAGGTTGGCATGTTTTTGGCACTCCAGCCAAAAATGTTGCTGACCCCTGTGCTATCACTCAAAGGGGCCGCTTTGAGTGGAGAGGATGCTTCACCAGCACGCAGGGTGACAAGAGGAAGGGAAGCGCAGGTAAGTATCAATGTCCGAGGAGCAGGGGGCCACAACTGTCCTGGGAGTGGGAGGAAGGCATGAGCACCTTCAGGAGGCCTCAGGTGCCTCTATACTAATGCTCGTAGCATGGGGTGTAAGCAGGAGGAACTATGCCTCCTGATTGCAAGTAAGAACCCAGACTTAGTAGGGCTCACAGAAACCTGGTGGGACCCTACGTATGACTGGGCAGTGGGCATTCGGGGGTACACCCTATATAGAAGAGACAGGACAGAGAGGAAAGGTGTGGGGGTTGCGCTCTATGTCAAAGAGCACCTCACATCATCAAGGACTAGCTTCGGGTTAGAGGAGGGTCGGGCAGAGACACTATGGGTCAAACTACAAGCGGGGCATGGCGAAAGGGACCTTACGGTGGGTGTCTACTACAGACCACCCAACCAGGGGGAAGAGCTAGACCAGGACTTCTCCAGTCATCTTATGGAGGCGGTTAGGTCAAGGGATGTTATTGTCATGGGTGACCTAAACTACCCAGACATTTGCTGGGAGGAGCAGACAGCCAGGTCTGACTGCTTGCGTAGGTTCCTGGCTGTATGACAGGACCTTCACCTTATCCAGGAAGTGCACAGCCCCACTAGGGGTAACGCCTTGCTGGATCTGGTCCTGGCCATGGGGGATGACCTGGTGAGGGGACTGCAGGTCCTTGACCACCTGGGCAATAGCGATCATCACCTGCTGGATTTCACTATCCAACGCAGGGCGTCTAGGGCTCACACCAAAGCTAAATCCCTTGATTTCAGAAGGGCAAACTTCAATGAGCTTAGGAGACTAGTGGGGGAGGTACTAAAGGCCCGGAAGGTAGAGGAGATGGGAGCCCACGAGGGATGGTCGTACCTTAAGGGGGCAATCCTCCAGGCCCAAAGGGTAACAGTCTCTGAGAGAAGCAAGGAGGGTAAGAGTGCTTAGAAACCCCCTTGGCTCAGCAAGGGCATTCAACAATGCCTGAGGACTAAAAGGGAGGCGTACAACCAGTGGAAGGGAGGAACTATCACCAAGGAGGAGTACTCCTCCTTGGCCTGTGAGTGTAGGAGGGCTATTAGGAAGGCCAAGGCAGAGATGGAACTCAGGCTAGCGTCCAGGATTAAGGACAACAAA